CTTGGATCTATTTGTTGTGAACTCTTATGGATCTGCTTTCCAGGTTACATATCAAGATTTTTAGAACTCTTTGAAGTTGTGCTTTACCGTGTACTGAAATTTCACCGAGAGCCTGAAAACTCTGTTAAAACATGTACAGGCAGTTTTCATTTGCCTCCTGATACCATTCTTGTCAAAATTATGGGGTATTCCATTCAGTCAACTTCCAAATTATCTTAAAGATGGTTCAGCCTGCTTTTTGAACATAGGTACCATGTCAACGAGTAAGTCATCGTTACTCACGATTCTGCTACTTTTATTTATTCATCTTTTAATTTGTTCATGTTTTTTTCCCATAGACCTTTGGTTTGGCAAGTTTTTCATGCATTTTAATGGTATGGCATGGCATGGCAGATTATGTAAGATCAACTGTATCCTTTTTTTGGTTTGGAATTTATTTCCGAAGGAAGAAGAAACTCTTTTTAAACAACTTGATTTTGAAGTTCAAATACGAAGATGGATTCGATACTTTTTTCACACTTCTGCAAAACGAGTAATCAACATGTTCATATTTCCTATTCCTCCTGTAGATAGAACTACACTGAACTTAAGTTTATAAGTTGGAGCAAAAATATCTAGTTCTATATAAGAAGTTAAATGCTGAATTTCAATTTACTGACGCAATTATTCACCATTTCTTTTAACTGAAGATGGAGGATTCTAAGCTTTCCAACCTTGTTTAACTCAGCTGTGGCTTGTTCTATTTTACACAGCAATTGTTGAGAATATGTGTACGCAACAGTCTTCTGGATATAAAATATAGGGTTTTTAATTGCTGAAGATAACATTGAAGAGTGAATTTAGAAATGTAGTGAAACTTCAAAGCACACGTAATATCTGCTATGTTTTACAGTTGAGGACGATTACTCAGGCACTTGAATTCAACAAAATTAGAAGAAGTTAAACTCCTTAAAATTATTTTTTCTATAAACATTATGGAAAATGAAGATTTGTTTGAAATTTCCTGATTGTGCAGGGATACTTTCAAACTTTGATTGCAATTCCGTAATGGAGTTTTCTGTCTATAAAACAATGTGTGGTCCTTTATTAAGTATGGATATGGAATACAGATGATTTAACTTGAATTTTTCCCACAGAATTTGCCTTTCCTAGTGTTTGAATAATTAAGAAAGGGCAAAGTAATAATTTATTTGTGTCACATTATAGATAAGCATTATGCCATTAGATACTTATGACCATAGCTATTGTATTGCAGAATATAGGTGTAAAAATATGATATACATATATATGATTTTTTATTTAACTCCAATCGTATGTAAAAAATAACAGATGATGACATTTTTGAACTTACTCTGGACACAGGATGTGACGGTGCACCTTTACTGCCACTGCTTTTTATCATTGTCAACATGGGTTTCAATATTTCATTGCTGCATCTGATCAAGATCTCTTCTGCTGTGGTATCTTGTCTTGCGTCAACATTTTCAGGTATCTTGATTGTTCTATATTTCTATTTCTTTCCTGCAAGTGCACCTTCAACTAGTCAATAGTTTGTGTATAGCTTTGAAATGCAAAACCTTAATTTTTGTGAAATGCGATGTCAGTCATGCCAATACATTGCTAATCTTATTGTACTTAAAAGAGCATGTTTGTAACACCATACTTGACTGAATCGGAATGCACAATGGATAAGATATTAGCTTCATTTTCTCTAGTTTGATAATATTTAGTACTGAATAATTAATATACCATATCAGAGAAGCCAAAACGTAATTTCGATTTATAGTGACAAGAAGGACTAGAAACATCATTACTACTACAAATTTTAGATTTTCTCCCTTCCTAGATTTCATCTTGAATTCAGTTGTTATTTCAGATCACCATGCAGTATTCATTGTAGTCCTTATTAGTTATGAATAGAAAGTTGGTCACCGGACCTCTTGACTGAGGAAAAACAATGAAACAATAGAAAAAGATTGCAAAGAGAAATAACCTTGCAAGGGAAGAAGAACCTTCACTTTTATTTTGAAAGGATGACAGTTGAAAAGATGCTAGTTTTATACTCATAGGCTCTAGCCCTAGCCAGCAGAATCTCCAAAACACTTGAAAGAAACAAATACTGCATACTTAAAATATCAAAAATCTTTATCCAAAACTTTAATAGCTTAAAATTTTGAAAATTCCCAATTATTTTGTCATTCCAACAAAGATTCAATTGAAAATGACAAGTATCTCATACTTAAATAAATATAAGCAATCCTACAGAACATGAAAATAGCTGAGAATCAATGCCAAAAGTTTTGTCACGTGGCAAGCCCATTATCTCTGTTGTAGAGCTTGAAAATAGCTTTTTATGTATATGTTGTAGCCTGTAACTCAGTCCTCCCAGATCAAATTTTTTCTGGATTGACGTTCTACCAGACCTAAAGTTTTTCTGGATTGATGTTCTGCTGTTGCACTTCACTTTTGTTAGACTTCCAATGATCCAAACCCTTAACATATATGAAATGCTATAGCTCTATTAATGTATTTGACGTAATTCCATGTCAAATTCTGAAGAACATAGGTTGATTTTGTTTGTTTGTCCGAACCACATCCAGCATGAGTTTAGAGATAATTTGCAACCATTGTTTTTGTCCCTAGCCCAACTAGGAAATGGGTAGTTTCTAACAAAGTTTCCATGCTCCAAACAATAAAACATAATTTTATATGGAGAAGGTGTAACGTAGCACAAGAGTTCTGTTTTCTGATATTCAGTGAATGGTGCATTATAAGACAACGTTATCTCAGAGATTTTTTGTCAAGCATGAATCAGTGACCACATGTGAATTATCAATATAATCTCATCATGTCTTGGGTAGATAAAGGTCTAAAAAGTAATTCTCTGCGTACTTTACCTTGAAAGTGATATTTTTCTCCAAATCATGGGTTCTTAGTATTTTCTCTTGAATCTTGTTTGCAGTGCCAATATCTGTATATATATTCACGTTGCCTCTCCCTTATCTTGGGGTTCCATCCTCCCTTCCACCTGGCTTTGTAGCAGGTGCCATTGTCCTTGTTGTGGGTGTGTTTTTTTATACTTGGAGACCGTTGGAGAGTTCCAAACGAGATGCCTCTCTTGTGAGTTAGCTACAAACTGGATAAAGTTTCTTTGACATTCTTATCGGCATCAATGCATCGAAACACTGGAGACAGGCACCTCTATTTGGTTAGAGGAATTTCAACATAAATAAGGACAAAAAGGTCCCACTGGCATTCAAGAATATTTCTGTTCAGATCTCCTGAACTGTCACGATGTTTCCTCTTCCCTTTGTTCCATTTTAAATCTGATGCTCACTGTTTAGGACGAAAGTAAGAGCTGAAGTTGGGTTCTTAAGCCGGTGTTATCAGATGGATTCATTTCATTGTATTCTTGTTATTGGGAAAACTAGAGAAAATCGCTTAGTTTATAGAACAAAGAGGGAGCAGAATTCAATAGGTTCTTATGCTTCCTGCTTATGTACTAGAATAATAGGAACTTGATGTAACAGGACCCCTGTTGAGTCATGATCTCTGATTTTGATTGCGAAATTAAATTTAAATAATATGAGTTAGATTGATCAGAGTAAAGTAGACTTTTCTAGTGTTTAAATAAAATCTTAGGAATCGAAAAATATATTTTTATGTATAATTGATCGGGCTAATGAAAATTATGTGCATTGCTTTTTTCGATTATTAGTGCAGAAATGATGCAAGCATTGAAAGTGATTTGCTCCCTCATGTACAGTAAGTTTTACTCTTGTTTATACTCACCTTATAGCAAGATGATATATCTGTACCTCAATATTTACTTGTTTGTGTTGGAGGCGGTGTTGAATGATATGTCTAATGGAAATTGAAACAAGAATTAATCATGATATATATATTAATGGAAAATGATACTCGCACATTCCGGAGTGTAAACCTGGGTGTACATTCTTATGTACGTGTAGCATCTCCTTTTTTAAATTTAATTCAATCTTCCATCTTCACATGTATTTTGTAATCAAGAAACATAGATTTATAATTTACCTAAATCAATAATAATTTCTTGAATTAAATTTGAATCACGAACCTCCAATTTTAATCGATGAACTTTCATATTTCAAGAACTTGACGTTTGTACCTTTAAGTCTTCTACGATATTCTCCAAGTGTAGACTATACCGATGCTTGGATACCTTTTTCAATTAAATAAATAAAAATCTAATTTTGGACCGGATAGATCAAGAAAACAAGAAAATAATTTTATTTTTTCTTCTCCCCTAAGAGCTGTTATATATAGATAAAAAAGTTCAATCCAATCCCATGTCTAATTAGACCATAAATAGTTTAATTGTGCGTGTAACTTTCAAAGTAATTCACGAGTATAGTGAATACCTATTTTTTGAGCAAGATTTTCTTGATTGAAGTTCGACTGTTATTTTATGGAATTGTAATTTTAATAGAATGAACTTTATGAATCAAGGTTTTCTATTGCTAAACAACATCGACTGCATTGTAGGTTAGCATGGTGAACAGAGAGTTATTGAACAATATTCAAGAAAAAAGAATTCAATCTTGTTTATTTGATTTACAATTAGAATATCTACATTTTGTAATTCATTGCATTGAAATATCTTGGATAAAATGAAATACAATCTTTCCAACTTTGTACAACGTACCCTCACATGGAATCTTACCTTTTTCATAGACTGCCAACCAACCAAAAATGTATTAGGTTCCCGGGAAATCCTCTGAACCCTTGTCTTAAAATAGTTTCCTTAAAAAATACAAACTTCACCAAAATCTTTCCTACAATCTCTCACAATCAGTCCAATACAACTAATCTTTCTCATTGCATGGCTCTCCTCCCTCTAAACACTCTTTCGCTTCTTTTCAACCCCAAAAAACAAGATTCTTCTTTGCTCTTCCTCTGGTTGGGCCAACCCTCATCCTTCTGCTTCCTTTTCTCCTTGACACTTCTTGTTCCTTCCTTGTTCAATGGGGAGTTGCTGCTCCCGGGGCGCGGCAGAAGACGCTCCAACAGGATATAATGAGGCGGGGAAAGTCGAATCCAAGTCGAAACACGACGAAAATGCCTCGATGGGTAACACAACTGCCCCACCTAAAACCATCCCGCCTTCTGCCTCTCCTAATCACTCCAGGAAGCCTTCGAAACCGACCCCTATAGGGCCAGTTTTAGGCCGGCCAATGGAGGACGTCCGCTCGACTTACACCATCGGGAAAGAGCTCGGGAGAGGACAATTCGGCGTGACGCATTTGTGTACAAACAAACAAACGGGAGAGCAATTTGCGTGCAAAACGATTGCCAAAAGGAAGCTTGTCAACAAGGAGGATACCGAGGATGTTCGAAGGGAAGTCCAAATCATGCACCATTTGGCAGGACAGCCTAATATTGTTGAACTGAAGGGGGCGTATGAGGACAAACATTCAGTGCATTTGGTGATGGAATTGTGTGCCGGAGGCGAGCTTTTCGATCGGATCATTGCAAAGGGACATTACACAGAACGTGCCGCCGCATCTTTGCTGAGAACTATTGTACAGATTGTCCACACATGTCATTCAATGGGGGTCATTCATAGGGATCTCAAGCCAGAGAACTTCCTTCTTTTAAATAAGGATGAAAATGCACCATTAAAGGCCACAGACTTTGGTTTATCAGTCTTCTTCAAAGAAGGTTACAATTTTCCATAAAGTTTCTTCCCTTTATTCTCAACATTTGAAGAAATTATTGGCAACATTGTGTACATTTTATTGCAGGAGATGTATTTAAAGACATTGTAGGCAGTGCATATTACATAGCACCTGAAGTGTTGAAGAGAAGATATGGACCGGAGGTAGATATTTGGAGTATTGGGGTCATGTTGTACATTCTTCTATCTGGAGTTCCTCCTTTCTGGGCAGGTACTTCATTAAAAAATTTCTCAGAATTTTCACCTTTTTGTATGGAAATTGTACCTCAATTTGATCGTATGTATCACTATTTCGGTGTAGAATCGGAGCATGGAATCTTCAATGCAATATTAAGAGGACATGTTGATTTTACAAGCGATCCTTGGCCCTCAATCTCAAGTGGAGCAAAGGATCTTGTCAAGAAGATGTTAACTTCAGACCCCAAGCAAAGGCTCACAGCATTCCAAGTTCTGAGTATGTATAATGTAATTGGCTTGTTTGGTTAAGTGGACAGTACAATACTAAATGGTTTCCAAGAATAAAAAATTAAAATCTCGTCCATTTTATTGTCAAGTGAATTGAACTCAAGAATTTGTAATATTTCTTCAATCAGAATGGAATAATTATTATCTGACTTGCTGCATTGTGGTATGATTAGATCATCCATGGATCAAGGAGGATGGAGAGGCACCTGATACGCCGCTCGATAATGCTGTTATGGATAGGCTCAAACAGTTTAGAGCTATGAACAAGTTCAAGAAAGTTGCACTCCGGGTAATTATACTCACATTTCACAGAGAAAGATAAAAAAGCCTAGGCCATTTCTGGTATGCCGACAATACTGAACAGGATTAAGAAAAACAGACCTGTGATCGAATTTTCTCTTTTCCTTCTTATTTATTTACACGGTTAAAAAGTTTCGAATGAGTTTAGAACTGTTGATTTTTCTTGGGATGAGTAGGTTATTGCTGGCTGCCTCTCGGAAGAAGAAATCATGGGATTGAAACAAATGTTCAAAGGGATAGATACTGATAACAGTGGTACAATAACACTTGAAGAGCTAAAGCAAGGATTGGCGAACCAAGGGACGAAGTTGTCTGAATACGAAGTTAAACAACTGATGGAAGCTGTAAGTTCACTAAAACTGTAGCCTAATGTGTTTGATGTCTCGTTTTTCCACTACAATATGATGGTCTCTTTTTCGATAAACATAGGCCGATGCTGATGGGAATGGAACCATAGACTATGAAGAATTCATTACAGCAACAATGCATTTGAACAGAATGGACAGAGAAGAGCATCTATACACTGCCTTCCAGTATTTTGATAAAGATAATAGCGGGTAAATGTACTTAGAATATGCTATCTTTGAGCACGTTTCTCTGTGCTTAAAGTTACTTTTCTAGAAAGTAAAACTTAAGGCTTGTCAGTACAAAAGTTTGGTTTTACACAATAGCAACTTAATAGAATTGGCTTAATGCTTACGTGAGCCGATATTACTTTTTTCTCTGATCAGGTACATCACGATAGAAGAGTTAGAGCAAGCTCTTCGAGAATTTGGCATGAATGATGGAAATGACATAAAGGAAATTATTTCTGAAGTTGACGGTGATAATGTAAGCTCATGAATTTTTCTATCCTAAGAATTATAGTAACATACCGAACATGGAACTACTGAAGAAGATAAAAGAAATCAATGCCATGTGAAAAAAACCATCTTTGTTCTTCTAGGGGGCTCACTTCGGCAGAAATTCACATTTGTTTCCTTAAGAACATGTTTGGTATGCAGTACTAGTCATGATTGGACACTACGATAGTCACATTGTCCAGTGATGTACAGTCAAGCTTACCAAAACATGTCATTAGTGATATAAAACATGTAACTTAAATTGAGTTTCCAAATATATGCAGGATGGCCGGATCAACTATGATGAGTTTGTAGCCATGATGAAGAAAGGTAATCCCGATGCAGCAGTGAATCCCAAGAAACGAAGAGATGTCTTGTTTAATAATGTTGAATAATTCGAGCAAAGGGGAGAATCTAGAACTTCATTACTACATTTACCTCAATTTCTTTAATGGGGTTGTGTAAGTCGTGGAAACTTGTTTTTACTATCTACAAGTCCTAAAAATTGGAGGAAAATCTTCAAAGAGGTTTCGTTGAAGATTACTTGTGATTGAGGTCGATGTAATCCGAGATATTGTTAGATTGGTCGGATTAGTTTCATATATGTAACATTGGAATCAAGTTTATGGCTCCCATATAACTTCGGGGAAATGAGAGTCTTTAAATGTATGTGTAAGTTTCAATAGAAATAGACAGAAATATATTGTTATATTGATCGCAAATAATGTGATATATATGGTAGTGTCGACCTCGAGCACATATATATGATGTACATTGCACGAGCATGTACTTCCGTCAAATTTTATTCTCTCTTCAAAGTAATTTTTAATCATTTGAATTCAACGAGAACTTGATTGTTTATGTCCATTCTAAAGTTAACATTTCAAGTCATGACAATCCACAAATTTCATCGAGGAAAATTAACGAAGCAAAAATTTAACAAGAACATTCTATCTTTGTTTTGAACTCTTTATTCACGCCCGTATTCTACTTGTATATCTCTGAATTTGTCATTTTTTCTTTTCTTTTTCCTCGTATTTTTAACGTGGGCCAACTTGGAAAATGAGGCCAATTTGCCTCAGGCCTGAAACTGATTAAGGGCCTGAGTTTGGGCTATGAATAATACGTAGATGACAAGTTCTAGTGGAAATTACATTTATCCCATTTTATTTACTAATTCAAAATTTACATTTTCACATTTTTATCCTATAAATACTGTATCTTAGTGAGTAAAAGTGAAATATCATATACAACTTCACTCCTATAATTTATTAGCTAAACTAGCTTATATCACTCCTCCAAACACGCCAAATCAAATACACCAAATTTATTAGAATAAATCTAAGTGTAAAACATTGGTTGACAACAATGGTTGACAATCATGTGTTGTCAAAATCATAGCATGTGATGTAGAAAACAGTTTTAAAAATGGATGGATATGATGATGTCAAATATGATATTGTCAATGAATGTTGTACATGTAGCATGATTCTATTCATTACCCAAAATCCCCCAAATTACCGTGGAACCAATCAAAATTCCTCAAATCATATACATTATCCGTTCGAAATCAAAATCAAAACTATGATGACCCAAAAAATTTCAAAACATCCCAAAGATTTCTCATTTTTATATCTCAGTCCATTTTACTCCAAATTTTGAGTATCAATTCCAATATCTTCTTTCTACAATTCAAAGATTATAGTATCTTTGAGTCAAATATAAAACTTGATAGGAGTCTTAGAATACCATAATTGACACGACAAAGTACAGTATATATAAGTTGTCGAAGTATCAAATATAACATATTCCAGTACACAATACAATTTCAAAAAATGTGACAAAAAATACAGCATGTATACCACATATATCATTAATTTGACATAACATAACAAAATATGATTGATGAATGTAGCAAAATGTTATATATGCAACCACTAATTATTCAAGATTCACATAAGAACATATCATGATTTTCAACATTCCATATTTCACAAATTACATAATATTACTCCTTTAGACATGTCATAATTGCTATAGAATATAAAATATGAGACGAAAATAAGCATTTTATTGTGCACGTAACAATAATATATTTAAAAATCTTAAGAAATTACAAATTATATTATAGCAACACAACGTTTTACGATATATTGCCTTACATTATAGTATTTCAAGAATATAAAAAAATGTGTTAGTGTTTTTAGAATTATCTTTCCATATCGATTATACGTGAAAATTTCCGTAAATTCTAGCATGAAGAATTTCGATCTCTTCAATTAATTTGTCAAATCCAAGAAAAAAAACTAACCTACCAAGTGTTAAGAGACCTAGGAGTACTGCGCACACATAATATACACATGGCTTATGGGTCATATATGTACGGTACATGATCATCGAGACCTACAAATATTTAAACTCGATCTACAAAACATACACGTCAAGTTGATATCCACAACTCGTAGTTATTGGTGAAATGATACATGTATGTCGAGAATACAGTCTTTGTTTGGCCCACATTTCTTAAAATTCATTTTTTTAAAACTTATTTTCAACTAAATATTTCTCGGGATTCACAATTTTTATTAACTTTTCAATTATTTATTTCGCCAATTTTTATCAAAATTGACTAAAAATCTAATTTATATCCAAACCAAACGGGGGCATATAAATTTGAATTTGTTTATATAAACTCTTTTGATCCCCATATATTCTTAATTTTTATACTAAACTTTTTCTTAGGTATGGCCACCATGTGATGTCCTATCAAGCATGTGCCATTTGAAGAAAACTAACATGAATTTAAACCTAGTATTTGACCGTCAAACAAATCTTATTGCTCCATGTTACTAGATTTAGTCTTTCACGCCTAACATATATAATCTTGTAAGTCCATTGAACTTGTACATGAATCCATACAAGCAAATGAATCTATCATATCAAAATGTAAATCATATCACAATGTAGCCCCACCAAAAAAGAAAAATGAAGAACGGATAATGCAAGATACAACAATGTCGAGTTTACTATTAATCTTTCATCGTGATTATGACACATCATTACCAATTGGTGTAATGTCTATCACACATATATTACAATCATTGGTGTTATTTTTGATCTCTACACATATCACCGCTCTAACAAAAATTTCCTCTACCCCTATCATATACTTCAGGTTGGTAGTTTCTATAGCATGTCTAAGTATTCATCACTGAAATTTCGCGACTGACTTAAAAAGTCACGTACAAACTCACGCTTAATCATTGGGATTGCATCATTTGTCTTAACGTGACTACTATCTTGAAGTTAGTTCACGCTCGTTAATGATGTCTAGTTGGACGCTTGAAACACGTCTTCTTTCCTAATTGATCAAATTTTGGGATTGCATCTAAATATGTGAATTTGTTCAAATATAAAGCTTTTAGGTACAAATTTTTTTTTGCAATAACTAGAGGCATCCAATACTATGAGTAGATGTGGAAGTGGTCTTTACTTTAGGAGACAATGCTATAAAAGATATGCATAGTGATAAATTAAGTAATAATAGGGAATATGCTTCAATATTCTTTTATTAAACATGAAGACATCTTTGTGAGGATAACTAAATAATCTTTTTTTTGTTTTTTTGGCTAAATTATATACTATTTGTTCCTTGATCCGGGGAGAGAGTATAAAAGATATATTTAAAAAAAAGTACCTTGCCAAAAAGAAAACAGTGCCCACATGAGTAAGAATCCAATGAACTTTTGTTAATGGGACGGTGTAGTTGATAAAATATGTACGACGTGTTTGATGTGTCGTATTAGGTAGCAATATACTGAATATTGAACGGGGATTTAAATTATTATTATTTATTTATGTTCACATATTTCAATATATGAAATATATCATTTTTTATGCGAAAAGGAAAGAAGGGCTATTTTTGTATGTATAGTTTTCCATGAAATATAATGGAGATATACTCAAAAAGTTATATTCTTTCGAACAGGGTTGAACGTTTGTAAAAGCATAAATTCGTGACTACGTCAAACTATTGATATGATATTTAATACATTGAATTAGACAACGCTAAATAGAAAAATTAGCAATTTATTTCATATTTTTCTTCGTTAATTATATTCACTAAATTTTTTCTTAGTAAACACATCAAATGTTATCATGTATATTTATGAACACACGAATTTGACTGTAGTTACATGCAAAAAGATGTGTGTGGGCGACTCACACAATAAAAAACTCCATTTTTAACAAAGTGGTCTCTAAATAATTACAAATCACGTCATATCTCCATCTCTAAACAATTACAAATCACGTCATATCTCTATCTAGACAATCTGTTTCATATTTATATGAATCATAAAATATAGTATATTTTAAAAAAATATGAATATTCTAGCCACCCCTTTCTATTCTTTTACTATAATCCCTCAACCAATGTGACATTTGAATTGTTTAGACACACACATTGTTACCTAAAATATGTCAATCATGACTTTTAACACCAAAAATGCTTTTAGTATGATAATGATACATTTATAGGGTGGGGGCATAATTCAAATGGCACTCTTTTTATGCCACGTATAGAAACTTATTCCCACCAATAATTTGTTACTTTTCAAGGTGTCAACCTCTCTTAGGCCACTCTTTGATGCTCCAACACGAATCAAATCCAAACATTATCCATCTCACTTCATAAATTGTAATATTTATTTATTTTTATTCCTTATCAACCACCCTATTAGATTGGAATCATTTTATTCACCTAACATAGATATCCCCATGTTTTATTAATGTTTGGTTTGTTTCTTATCCAATTCCAAGCAAACAAATTAGTAACGTTCTAATAATAACATGACATGAAAAAGACGTTAGCGACGTGAATATGAATGGATAACGTTTTCTTTAATATATAACGTGTTGTATTTGAAAACTGGAATTGATTTGATTATTTAGAAGCACGGTAAGGTAAATATTTTTGTTTTGCTCTTCTTTCCTTTTCTTACTTTTGTTCTGTTTGAATTGAAAATAAATGTATTTCAATTGACTTTGTGGACGGGATATGCCTATCGAAACTCAAAGTACGGCTAGAGTTGAACGTTGGAGACTAAAATGTTATGTAAAAATCGTATAAGAGCGCTATTAAGATTTAAGGCGAAATCATTTTGTCAGAAAGATGTCTTAATATAAAGGGTATTTGCAAGATATGATTGGATGGAAAAGTTAACTGTATTTTAAACAGTCAAATAATAAAATGTGATGTGACGTTATGTCAACCTCTCAGACACTGTATCATGATTCAAAGTGAGTTATGCTAATCAACTTAACATACATATGCCAGTGAATTCATTTCTATGTCTAATACGCATCAAGGTGGCTTTAAGGCCGTTCACAACAT